GCTTTGTACGATGGGATCTTTCTTGTCATTCAAATCTCAGCTCAAATGCCATCTTCTCAGAGAAGCGTTTTCTAACCACTCAATCTCCATTAGCCACCCAGTCACTCTGTATCATATCCCTCATTTTGTTTTTCCCATAACAGCCATTATTAATTACCAGTTTCTTACTCAGTTATTGTTTGCCCCAGCCCTACCCCCACACTCACCTCTTCCTGGTCACCTTGGCATCCTTAGTGACTGGCGCATTGTAACCACTCAGTAATTATTTGTCACATTAATGCATACGTACACACCTACGTTTCCCTGAAGTCAAATAAGAGAAATAACTCTGCTTCAGTTGTATATTTGTGAAAACAGAGGCACTTTATTTTTCAAGCAATTTTTTGTAATCTTAGACATTTGTGTGCTGTGGAAAACTTTTGATTTGTATGAATGTACATTTTAAAAATGGTTTTGAAAGCCAGAAAACTAAACGATTTACAAATGGTGTTTTACAAGGTGAGTTTATGTATCACATAAGACACCAGCTGCACAAGACCTTTTATTTGTCCGAGTATATCTGAACCTTGAAAGCTCTTGAATGTTCAGTACAATTTGAGAAGCTTTTCCTGAACACCATCTTCGAGCAGGGCTCTGTGCTGAGCACCGTGCGTAGGACAGGCTCTCAGCTCTGCAGGAGCTCCCGATCTGGAGAGAGCTGTGTTCATGGGGAGCTTTCATACAAGGCACGGTGATGAGTGTTAGAACGAAGTTCACATGAAGTATCTTGGAATGGTTCGATAGCCTGATTATATGCATTTTTTAAATTCTCAAACACTAACAGATGTACCGTTTTTCCCTCTGCAGGCAGTAACAGCCCTCACGGCAGCCCCACCTCTGTAGACAGTAATATGCTGCTGGTCATCATTGTTTCCGTTGGCGTCATCACCATCGTGGTGGTCGTGATCATCGCTGTCTTTTGCACCCGGCGCACCACCTCTCACCAGAAAAAGTAAGGACCCCAAATGTGCAGCTCGGAGATTTTTGGTATCTTTTCTTTTATTTCTGTGTGTCTTCTGTATTTGGAGTGGTACACAGAGTTAAGACATAAAAAATACATGGAAAGCAATTTTAAATATTGTAAAAGGAAATGGGAAATAGTTCCTCTTATAAATGTGTATGAGTCATGGTCCTGGCGGGAAAGAGGTGGCACACTTCAAAAGGGTTCCAAAAGGGACCATTTACAAAGTCATAGGTGGGGTTGCAGGAAACGAGGCAGGGATGTTCAAGGGCCAGCAGCAGTGATAAGTCGCTGTTACCCTCAGGCCTGAAGGGGCAAGAGGAGAGAGCTGTTTTCAGAGATCTGAAGCAGTAAGCAAGGGCTTCCTGCCAGGAACGTGGCAGGCACTAGAGGCATGTGGCCATTGCCAGCCTCTAGCCTGGCAGAGAGGGCAGAAGAATCCTCCCACCCTCCGTCTGTTGCCAGTGCCTACCGTTGGCCAAACCCAGCGAGGAGTTACAGAGCCAAGGAGAGAAGAGATGTGGAGAGGAGAGCGGGAACTGTCCAGCATCGCTGGTCACTCCTCAGGAGCCTGTCTGCGTGTGCACACAGCGAGCCAGGTGCACGGGAGTCTGGCTGTTTTCACGGGCTGCGTCCCGGCGCGATGCCAGCTGAGGGGAAGAAGACCATAGGCCTCTTATTCTAGGTCTAAGTTGAGAATATATTTAAAGAAGTGCTACCAAGTGTAGAGGTGGGGGCAGCAGGGATTACTTTAATGAACAGGAAAGGATCTTTGATAACCAACTTACCAATTAGATATGGTAGCCGATCCAAAGTTGACAAAGCATTTAGAGACTGTAACCCCTCACTGGATCTCAGCACATCCCCCGATAGCCCCTCACTCTCAACAGCTCACCTGGGCTTCTTCACAGAGCAAGTGGAAGCTGTCGGCATACCACGGTCAAATCTGACACCTTTCTACGTTGGTAATAATTGTTTCCTCCTCCTTCCTAAGTGTACTCCTCCTGTGAATCCAGGTCTTCCGTTAAGCCCTGATCTCTTGTCTCACATCTGTCTAAGACTCTATACCGGCTCTTACCCCTCTCTCCAGCATAGCTGACCTCTGACTTGCTGTTGGCTCTGTCCCTTCAGTGTTTACATGTGCTCACACTTCTTCTCCCATCTTAAGAAATAATTATAATTATAACCCTCCCTCTACTACACGGTCCTGGGTTACCACCAGCTGCGTACAAACCTCCTCTGCCTTTTCCTTCACCACAAAATTCCTTGAATGCTTTTTTAGACTCACTGCCCATTCACTGACTGCTCATACTTTAGTCCTTTCTATTCTTCATTCTGCCCCTCCCACTTCACCAAAATTGCTTTTGCTGAGGTCACCCATGGCCTCCATATTGCTAAAGCCAAAGAACATTTTTCAGACCTCATCTTACTTGGTCTCTCAGCAACATTTAACACAGTCACCTGTCCCTTCCTTCTGGAAACAGTCTCTTCTCTGGTATTGCATGACAGCATGTTCTTCTTCGTAGCCCCTCCTACCCACTCAGCCAGCAGACACACTCCTCGGGCCTGGGCCTGGACTCGGACGTGTTCTCTTCTCCTTCTGTGCTCTCCCCAGGTGATCTCGTCTACTGCCGTGCTTCGTTTACTGTCTGCATTCCAGCCACTCCCATGTTTCTCCCTTCGCATTTCTTTAAGCTCAGAGCATTTTAAAATGATAGCTCAATATCTGTGTTTCTCGCTTGACCAAAAGTTCTGAGGGTACAGCAGTCTAACACAGGGTCTGGCATCTACTCGGTCCCTAATGTGTGATTATTGAAGGGGTGAGTGAGTGGAGCGGCCAAAGCGCGGAGGGTAGACACTGTGGTCCCCGTTATTATCTCTGTCTACTCAGTTGGTGGTCCTAGTGTGCCTGCCTAAAAAGTTGTTGCCCCCCTCTTTATAAGCCATAGACTCCTCTACTCTATTGTTACGTTTCTACTTAATGTCATTTCTCTACTGATCAGAAACTTGTAGAGAAAACTTCTTTAGAGATTACTTGATTAAAAAATGGGCCAGGAATTTGAGACCAGCCTAGGGAACAGAGAGAGACCTCCATCTTTACAAAAAATTAAAAGTTTCGCCAGATGTGGCAGCACATACCTATAGTCCCAGCCACTCAGGAAGGCTGAGGCGGGAGGATCTCTTCAGCCCAAGAGTTGGAGGCTGCAGTGAGCTATGATTGCACCACTGCACTCCAGCCTGGATGACAAAACGAGACCCTGTCTCAGAAAAAAAAAGCTGTCTTAATTTCTTAACACCCAAAAAATAGTCACAAGGCAATATTCAAGTATGGTAAGTATTTCTAAATATGTGTGGACAGAGTGGAGATACATTTACTCTTTCCAGAAGTAAACTTTTTGCCTCTGTCTT